GGGCGGTGGTGGGTGAGGTGGGGGCGGGAGTCACTGGCTCTTTGATTGGGGTCAAACCAGAGCTTGTCGCCGGCTCCCCGTCCTGCTGAGATGTTTTCTCCTTCGGGTCAACAGTGGACGATCGTTTCCATGACGACGAGTTAGCAACGCCTTCTGTTGTAAACTGGCTTGGCGTTGCTGTCGGTTTCAATCCTACCGCTGCCTCATCACCACCTGGCCTGTACACTCGCTCCTGGACTGTCCCAGAAGGCTGGTCGGTCCTCTGACCTCGACCCACGCGAGAACTCCTGTCAGACACGATTTTGACGTCATCAGTCAGGAGCGCTGGTTCCTTAGACGGTAATGACGACACTGACTCATCACTCAGTCCTGGGAGTTTTTCTGTCCTGACGTCACTGTTGTCACCAGTACCTCTGACGCCACTGTTACCACCCGTACCTCTTACTACAGGTACATTATCCACTGACTGAGACGTTGGTTCAGAAGATGTACCGCCAAACTGAGCAGGTGAACGCGCATTGATGAGAGAATCTTGTTCAGAGAAGGTCATCTTAGATTTATCCACATTACCAGCTGCGAGTGCAGCCGTCTCCCTATTTCTGTCCACATTCCCAGGGCTGGTTGAGGATAAACTTGAAGCCTGCAAGGTTTGTGAACTTTGAGCGGCTTCACCTGAACCATCATTGTTGTTTCTGCCTTTCGGTCTCTCAAAAGTGTTGGGGTTGACTTCAAATCGCTTCCGCTCATTCTCCGTGTGCCGATCTATCTTGACGTCCTGAGACGGTCTGAGCCTGAGCCACTCCGGAGTTGTCTCCCTCTGAGTCCGCGGCGAGGCGTTGGCTTTGATCCTCCCCTCGATGTCTGTCACGGGCTTCCGGTTGAGCCAGGAGGGTTTGGCTTCTGCTTCAGGGGAGGTTCTGTTGGCTGCTGCATGGGGAGGGGCTGGTGGGGTGGTATTCCGGAGTCCTCCTCCTCCTCCTCCTCCTCCGCCTCCTCCTCCTCCTCCTCTTCTCAGAGAAGTGTGGCTCACTTGTGTTAGCGACTTCGCCTGGTCTTTTGATGGGAGGGTCGCTGCATTTTCCGAGTTTGAAAAGTTTGTATTTCTATCTGTTTCTTTGTCTTTAACTGTGGTGAAAACTTCATTGATCTTTCCACCTTTAAACTCATCAGTTCTGTCGTCTATTTTAAACCTATTCAAGTCTTCCGTTTCCTCTTTCACCTTTGAACTTTGCGTCCCATTAATTATGTCATTGTCTTTTGACCTCCTCACCTCCTCACCCATCGCTGAATTCCCCACTCTGCTTTCTACGTCATCAGTCTCTGTGTCCACATCACGACTCTGCACATCGTCACAACTTCCGCTGAGCCGACCGGCACTCGTCACCTGACCTCTCCTCACGTGATCAGCCTGAGCCCTCAGCTGTCGGATTGTCTCCCCTGTGGCGCCCAGAGTGAGCGCCCTCAGCTCGGGCTGACTCATCACCAGGTCCGAAGACTTGTCCAGCTGCAGAGATCCCCGTTTGGCGTAAGCCTTCTGCTTGACCCAGTCCGGGATGTTGTCCAGGCGTGACCCGCTGACCCCGCCCTCAGACGGTGACGTGGGCAGGGAGGAATTGGACTGGGACTTGCCAATCTCTCTCAGAGTCTTCGCCTTGGCGGCCGAGCGGTCGGGCGACAGGTCCTCGGCCTTCCACTGACGCAGCTTGTCTATGAACCCGGATGACCCGGCCACCTCTCTCCTCCCGTCAGCCCCCGCGACGTCCTTGACATTCTCCGCCGACCTCCGGGCCGGTGAGTCTCGTGTCTGGTTCCGCCGAGGTCCTGATCCAGCCCGAACTGACAACACGTCGTCTTTTTGGTCACTTGGACGATCGCTCCTATCTCTAGGAATTGAACCCCTGTGAACGGGAGGTTTGTTCGTGACGCTAACTCTGTCCACATTTCCCACAGATTTGGGCAGCTGGAATTGTGATGTCATTCCACCTCCTCCTCCTACTTTGCCGTTATTTCCAAATCTCTGCTTGTCGACAACCTGGCTCTCTGTCGTCTTCGAGGTCGCCTCAAACTTTGCTGCAATGTCCCTGGGCGAGGAATGTTTGGCCCCTGGGGGGTACTCCCTCCCCCTGCCGCTGATGGCAGAACCGACAAATGAGCTCCGGCTTTCCCGGGGCGGGGTGGGAGACTTGGAGCGAACGACGTGCTCGTATTTCGTCCAGATACTTTTACTGCTGACAGGTTCGAGCTTCGGAGACGACCAGCTGTTTGGGGAAACTTTCCTCAGAGAAGCTGGGGATGGAGATTCATTTCTTGAAGTGGAAGACTTCCATGCTGCGCCATTTCTTGAGTCGGGAGCCACGTCTGTCTGTCCTTTGTACCGGGAGGTCTGAGAAGGTTTCCCGACATGGTCAGACCGAGCAGAAGTAGACGAGGCAGGCGTGTGGACAGAGAACTTGTTCATTATCTGCGACAGGTCGCTACTCCGGGACTTTGACTTGACAGAGGCGGCGTTCTTGGAGATGTCCGAGGACTTGAACCCCTCCCTCTGGGCCACGGGCTTGAGCTTGACGTCTGTAAAGATGCTCTCTGTGGAGCGAGACATGAACTTGCTGCTCCTCAGGTCCCCGGGGGCGGGCGCGGGGCGTGGCGATGGGCGGGGTGATGGGCGGAGCTTCACCTTCCGGAAGTCGTCCACAGCCTCTGGCGCTTCCGAGGAGTACGGTTGCCATGGCGACGACGAGGTAGACTTGGCGTCCCGGGCCGACCACGGCGCTTCTGTTCTGAAAGGCCCGGCGCTCCGCGTGCCCTCTCTGTTCGTCACGTGACCAGCCCGCGTGCCCTCTCTGTCCGTCACGTGACCAGCCCGCGTGGTGTTGGGTGGCATGGACGTCCACGTGGTATCTTCAAACTCGAGTTTCTCGATGTCAGGCTTGAAGGAGACACCACGTGACGAGGATGGCGCTGACGCATCGTCGAGGAGCCCGCCGCTGGAGGACCGCCCACTGTCACGTGACACGCTGAATGACGTCACGGAGGGCGGGGCTTCCTCGGTAGCGGAGGAGAAGCTCTGGTCCGACTGTGAGGTGAACACGTCATCGCTGGTGTCCGCCTGGAGCGGGCTGTCCGAGGCGGGTCGGCGGGGGTCAAGGACACCAGCGTCAGGGCAAGGTGAAGGTTGTTTGGTCGGGAATGTGCCGGCGTGTGACGTCACCGCTGTCGGGGACACCTGGCGGGGTGACGTCACGGCTGTGGCTGAGGATGACACTGAGGCCGAAACTGGAACAGCTGACTCGGCGTTGGGTCTTAATGCTGTTGACGATGATGATGATGACGACGATGATGATGATAATGAAGGGGGAAGTATAGAGACGGTTGCCAAAGATGAGCCAATCGCTGTAGTTTCATTTTGACCTCTCGATGCTGCCGGACTCTCTAAAGCGTTCCCCGAGCCCAGAGAAAAAGCAGACAATTGTAAGTCATGGTTCTCCGCTTGTTTCGAGGCTTTCTTGGCTATCTCGTCTTCTCTTTGCCCCACAAGGACACTAGAGGATGTTCCCTTCACATTTTCTCTCAACCGACCCGAGTGCAGATTTTCCATGGAAGTTTCAGTTTTTGCGGCGAATGTAAGTACACTTGGGTCAACATTTTGCGTAGTAAGTTTCGATAAAGATGAGCGGATGCCATTAGATCTAGAGTCAGTTCCTGGCGAATTCTCCCGGGCTGATAACGTTATATCAGAACCACCGCCTTTATCGGGTTTTGAGAATCTTGACTCATACCTGGCCAGATGAGAACTGTAGCGTCCTTGAGATTCTGTGACGTCACCGTTCAGTCTGTCGTTTGAGCCAGGTCGTCTCTCGCGTGAGCTCTGACGCTGGCGAGAATCTGCGAGAGACGTGAGTGGGGCGGGAGAGACTCGCTGTCCGGAGCCGCTGCCAAACAACCAACGGTCTTTGAAGGAGGAGGAGGGGGCGTTGTCTTGTCTTGCCGGGTGTGAGGAGGTGGAGACAGCCCCGGGAGTGGGGGAGTGTCTGGGTTCTGATGTCGTGGCTGTGGAGTCCAGTGGGGTGGGCGTGGCTTTCGACGACGTGGGTGTGGCTTCTGATGAAAAAGGCGAAGCTTTCGTTGACACTGATGAGATAGGGGCGGCTTTCCAAGAGGAGGGCGTGGCGTCCGATGAAATGGGCGTGGCTTTCCAAGAGGAGGGTGTGGCGTCCAATGAGATGGGCGTGGCTTTCCAAGAGGAGGGCGTGGCGTCCGATGAGATGGGCGTGGCTTTCGTCGACGTCGAGACATCCTCAGGCTCAAAATCCCGTGAGGAAGAGGGAGAGTACTTCCGCTCTCTCCAGCGGCTCTCCCTGGCCGAGAGAGGCGCCTCCTGAACCTCCCCATCCCCCGGCCCCCCGCCAGACGTTCTCAGCGCGCCCAGAGAGCGGTTCACGGACTTGAGACCGAACGGGTTGACGCCTGCCGGGCTGCGCTGATAGGTCAGCTCCCTGTGTGTCTGGCTGCCGCCCGTGTGCCTAGAGGGGGACAACCTCACCCCCACACCCCCGCTCCCTGGTACATCCACACCACGTGACATCACGTTCCGAGAGTTCCTCGCCACCTGCAAACGCCTCAGCTCTGACCCAACCAAACCAGCGCCCTCTTGTAAACCTCTTACGTTACTCTCCCCCTCACCGGCCAGGTCATCTCTCCCGCCACCACAGACCTGGTCGGCCTCTTTCTTTTTACTCCTGGACAGAACTTCCCGGAAGTCCATCACGGCGCTGGTGTCGGGTCTCAAGGCTGTTCTCACGAGGGGTGCGGCGGGTCTGGGTTTGAGCACACTCCTGAAGTCTGTCACACCGCTCTCCCCCGCCCCTGAACTCCCCTGCTCCTGTTGCCTCACACCGGCACCTCCTCCTCCTCCTCCTCCTCTCTTCTCCTGCCAGCCCAGACCAGGAACTTTGACGACCATCCTCACCTCAGGAGCCGCCTCTCCTAGTCCCGAGACCTGTGACTCCTGGGCAGGCGTCATTGGCTTCAAGAAAGAGATACGGCCGGAAGGAGTGCGTGACTTGGCGGTGTTCAGAGATATCCCCGGTACGGGCGGCTGGTGGGTGGATGGTGCACTTTGACCCGGCACGGTGCTTCTGTCTGAGCTGTCGTCATCCTCCACTCTGAAAATATAAACCCACAGCAATTTTCCTTTACTATAATGAAGATGGTGGTTAAAGGGGGTGGTGAGGGGGAACGGTTAATAACAAGTTAAAAATCATAAATTAAGAGTGTCTACAGGATAATGCACCCCTGCAGGTGGGGGGCCCCATAGTTTTACTGTGGGGGAGCAAAGAATCCACCTGCCGTGATACTGCGTGACGTAAGAGGCGACTAAAGGTGCATAGGTCTGGTCACCTGAAAAGTGACAGTTTGCGGAGGGTCAACTACCCGACCCAGTAAAAATGTAAAGTTACAGAAACACGAACAAACATGCCTTATAATGTTTCCATCTTGGGAGACGGAGGAGCTTCTGTATCAGCAGGAATAATGAAGGACAGCGGACAAAAGTCGAGCAGCTATAACAAGGAAAGTCTTAGATTGGAACCCACAGGGTAAAAAATCAAGGGGAAGACCACGTGGAACCTGGAGAAGAGTTACGGAAATGAATGTACAGAAAAGTGGGAAGACATGGAGTGACATCAAGCGACTAACCCAGGACAGGGAAAGGTGGAACATGTTTTTTCGTGGCCTATACCCTGATGCAGGGTGAGAAAGGCAATGATGATGATGATAGGTAAATGAAGAAAAGTGAAGAAAATAATAAATTTACAAAAAGAGGAGAGAGAGGGTAAAACAGTACCTTTTGACATGGATGGCTGGTGCCTTCTATAAATAATTAATTATTTGTGTCACAACACGGTGGAATCAGGCGCTCGTCAATTTTTGGGCATATAGAATTACTGGTGCAATCTTTACACCTTTTCATTTGTTTTATTTTGATGAAAAAAAAAATACCCGTCCGTCCTGAACAGAAATCGAGATATTTTCGCTTGAAGGAGGTAGGGTGCCAAACGTTAAATTAGCGAAAAAATGGCCTCCAAAGTTCGGTGCTTTCCAAAGCTGTAGTGTACTTGGAAGCTGTATTATTACATTTTTTGTTCCTTTGAGTAAAACTCCACACAAAAATGTGTTTTGGAGTAGGCATAAAAGTTGTTTAGCAAAACAACAAATCGATTTTGATAGACTTGCGCAAAGGGGAAAAACAAACTTTTAAAAAAGGTTTTAGTAAGAGTTTTACAGCACTTTCAGCATAAATAGACCACACAAGTGCTGAACATTGGAAGTGTAACAACAGATTAACAGGCAAAGAGAAGATGGAAAGATAAGGACAATAAGCTAACACATCACGAGGACAACATTACGATAAAACTAATCTGACAATCTGACTGTGTCATTTTAATAGGATTTTGCAAGGAGAGATTTTGAAAAACTAAAACAAAAAGCCAAAAGCCACTCACCCGTGAGTCCAGCGTCCGTGCGGTAGGGCGGGGGTCCCCACCGGTAGAGGGCGCCCTCTGGGGTGCACGTGCAGGGTACAGGTGTGGGAGGCTGAGCCGCGCGTGTTGTGCACGTGACAGACCAACTCACCCTGGTCGGAGGGCTCGGTGGAGGTGATGGTCAGTGTGTGGCTGTCTCCCAGGGAT